TTTGGTAAGCAAAATAGATTGAGCTCCTTCAACCTGCCACTAGAAGGCCTGCTTTCCAATCCTTTAATCATTCTCATGGCTCATCTCTGAACCCTGTCCAATTTATCAGTGGCCTTCTTGAAGTGTGGACACGAGGGGTGAACACCAGTACTCCAGTATGAATGAAACCATCAGACTTACCTTTTTAAACCAATGCGTGTCTCTAGAGAGGGAGGGAGTGGTTTTGCTTTAATGGAAGAAATGTGGAGAGGGCAGAAATATCATGAGAACCCCAGTGTTCTCCATTCCTGCATCTTCCCTTGGTGAATCCATGCTGGCTGTTCCTGATCACTTTCCTCTCATGCAAGTGCTTCAGGATTGATTCTTTGAGGACCTGCTCCATGATTTTTCCAGGGACTGAAGTGAGGCTGACTGGCCTGTAGTTCCCAGGATCCTCCTTCTTCCCTTTTTTAAAGATTGGCACTACATTAGCCTTTTTCCAGTCATCCGGGACTTCCCCGGTTCGCCACGAGTTTTCAAAGATAATGGCCAATGGCTCTGCAATCACAGCCGCCAGTTCCTTCAGCACTCTCGGATGCAACTCGTCTGGCCCCATGGACTTGTGCACGTCCAGCTTTTCTAAAAAGTCCCTAACCACCTCTATCTCCACAGAGGGCTGGCCATCTCTTCCCCATTTTGTGATGCCCAGCGTAGCAGTCTGGGAGCTGACCTTGTTAGTGAAAACAGAGGCAAAAAAAGCATTGAGTACATTAGCTTTTTCCACATCCTCTGTCACTAAGTTGCCTCCCTCATTCAGTAAGGAGTTCCGTTCCCTGTGCCATTGTATTTTCTTGTATGGCCTTGGGCAAGTCACTTAGGGCAGTGGTTCTCAACCTTTTCTCATTTATGGACCCCTAAAAATGTCAAATGGAGGTGCGGCCCTTTTTTAGAAGTCTTAGACATGGTGGGCATCTGCAGGCCACAGGGTGACAACCCCTGACTTAGGGTATGTCTACAGAGCAACTAGACACCCGCGGTTCACCCATGCCAGCCAACTTGGGCTAGCAGGGCTCAGGCTGTTTCACGTGGGCTGTTTGACTTCAGAGAAGTGTAGACTTCTGGGCTCTAGGACCCTGCAAGGTGGGAGGGTCCCAGAGCTTGGGCTCCAGCCCAAGCAGAAAATCGACACAGTGCCCTGTGAGCCTGAGTTGGCTGGCACGGGCCAGCTGTGGGTTTTTCTGTGCTGTGTCTACACTGCAACTGGCAGATTTCATTCCCAGCTTGGATGGATGTACACGTGCCAGCTTTGATCAAGCTACTGTGCTAAAAAGAGCAGCGGGCCTCAGTGCCTTGGGCTAGCTGTCTGAGCACAGTCCAGTCCAGAATCCTGGGCATGTACTTGGCAGCTAGCCTGTGGCCACACGGCTATTTTTAGGCACTAGCTCAATCAAAGCTAACATGTATATGTCTACCCGAGCTGGGAAGTACACCTCCCTGCTGCTGTGTAGATGGATCCCCCATCTCTCTGTGCCTCAGTTCCCCATCTGGACAATGGGGATAATGGCACTGTCCCGCCTCGCAGGGCTGATGTGAGGAGAAGTACATTAAAGATCGTGAATTACTGTGGTGATGAGGCCCATATAAGTACCTACGATAGCTAGATAGAGGGGGTGGATGGGGATAGATAGATAGATAGAATGAGAAGAAAGCACCATCACGCCTATCCTCCTTCATACTATCTATCTATCTACTGCAAAATAATTCCAAATCACCAGTCACATGGTCTGCTGGGTTAAATATCATACTTCACATCTCTGAGTTCTGTTCTCACCTCTGCCCCATACTGAGACTTCATAATAATTTCCATGTAACTAACACTTCGCAAGGGATACATACTAGGATGCTAATGGCTGCTGTGTTTGCTGCTATACATCCGGGGAGCTATTTAAGCCTCCCTAACCCTTTCTGGCTGACCCTGCTGGGGATGGAGTAAGTAGAAGAAAGGGGACAAGGAAAAGAAAAGTCAAGGGGATTTACGGAGGGAACATAAGTAGAAACTGAACTGAGGGGCCCTACACAACCCCAGATCCCTAATTCCAGCCCTGCTGCATCCGTGACCTGTAGCCATTCACTAAGTTATCTTTCCCTTCAAGAGATAACACGAGAAGATGGTCTATAAATCCCAGGTTCTAGGGCAGCCAAACTGTGGTGTCCTGGTCTTCATCATCCGTGCAGGCGATCTCAGCCGGGGTGCTCCCACATATAATCACTGCAAATCATTTTCTCTGTTCGGTGTCCTGAGGCGGCATTAGGGGGAATCTTCCTAACACATTTAGATAAGGGCTCTCCTGCGGAGGTGGGTGGAAATTTGGCAGCAGGAAAGGAATTTGCCTTCCCATTAAATCAACCGGCAACAGTGGTTTAAGGGACTAGCTTATTAGAGAGTTGTGTCAGCTCTTACTGCTTCCCTGGCTTTATGGAAGGATTAGTTGGATCCCCGGCCCCTTCCCCTTGTTGTAACATGAAGCCTGTGATCTGAATATTCACAGAGGCATGATTTTATCCTGCTGCAGGGATGAGTTGCCCTTGTCATCTTATTACAGTGGGATTGGATGTTTGCTGTTCGCTCTTTTTCCAGGGCAGTGGATTAGTGATCTTTGGAGATCTGTGTTTGAATCCTTGTTTTGGCTCATAAGATACTGGTAATTTCAAGCTAGCATCGTGTCCACTAAGGGATGTTTTCCATGTCACACCCAATTTGGTACAACCATTCGGTTTCATGCAATTGTCAGGGTGGGGGTCAAGACTGGAATAATAGAGTCATGTTCTGGTCTAGGCCCAGGAGGCCTGGCAGGGGTGCTCCAAAAAAGCGAGGTTCAAACACGGCAAAAGCGGCAAATTATTGGCTTTATTGAAGGTAAGTGACACACCCACAACGGGGACTCCAAGAGTTGCTGTCACGGCAGCGGAGAGCCCAGCGCACCAGAGCAATGCCTGGGACAGAGTCCAACGAAGGGGTGGGTAGCAGGCATTAATATACGCTTAACATTATCAGCTCATGTATAATTACTACGGGGTTGTGCTCCTTTACTGGCATGGGGCCACACGAGGCAGTCAAGGCCGGTTGAGGACTGGTTTTGACTGGTTCCTCATGTCCGACACTGACCGATAGTAACCGTCTGCACAAGAAAGCGTTCTTCCCTAGCTAGGCGGTCACAGAGTCTTCCGCAGTCCCTTACAAGTCAGCTCCGAGGTTAGTGAGGCCCCATCGGGCTCCATCCCTGGCTGTGAATGGTGCCCAGAATATCGCATTGGTTGAGTGCAATTGCAAGAATTTTACATAGGTTGGGGCCCCTATGAATAGAGCCCTGCAAATCCGCAGATATCCACTTCATATCCCTGGACCTTTTTGGCGGATAGTGAAGCGGATGCGGATACAACTGTGCAGGACTCTACCCATAGGTCTCAGCCTCCAAGGGGTAACTTCCCCCCATGGGCTCAGCCCTGCAGGGCCCCTGACCGACTGACTCTGCAGCTCGGGGCTCCTTGGTCCTGCTTGCAGGGGTGGCGTGGCGGCTGCTGCTGGCCGCATTGCGAGCGACGGGGATCCCGCATTGCTACAGCCGGGATCCTGGCTGGGCAGGGGGCAGTGCCCGAAGGGACCAGCCCACACCGCTGGGCTCTTTTTTTCGGGTTGCTGGCTCTCTCCCCCGCTCCCATCCCCAGCATAGATGGCATCATCCGCAGCAGCCAGGCGTTCTCAGCTTCCTATGGCTGTCGATAGGGCTCTAGTTTACGGCAGCCACGTGGCCTAATGGATAACACCGGTGGCGCCTGGCCCGTGGCGTCCAGCTCGGGCTGCCCAGGGGGCTCAGTGCGCTCGGGGCCAGAAGCCATGGCTGGGGCTGGGCAGCAGGCTGGGGTCGGGGCTGTCTAGCACCTGCTTGCCACGCCACTTCCCGTCCAGCGGCTCGGGCCCCTCGGGCAGCGCCAGCATCCCCACCATGGCTCGCCCTGGCTGCACTCCCAGCCCACCAGCTCCTAGGCAGCAGAGCCCCCTCAGCCGCGGGGATTGGAGCGGGCGCCCCACCTCTCCACCCCTTTGTGCCCCATCATGCACTATTGCTATTGGATGCCTTCGCTCGCAAGCCCCCGGGAGCACCACACGAAGTCACACCACTTTCCCCCCACCTCCTCGTGCCACCCTGAGACCCTGCCCTGTGCCACCCCTTACCCCCAGTCCCTGCCCTCGCACGGCCTCTTCCCTGCAAGACCCCATCCCCCTGCTCGCTCATCTCTGCTCCCCCACCTTGGGATGGCTTGCTGCTGCGGGTGCGGATAGAGGTAAAAGATGGCTAGCAGATCGCGGGTCGGATCGCGGGTTGATCCTAGCAGATGCAGATTGGATGCAGATCCACATTTTTGTATCCGCGCAGGGCTCTACCTATGCGGTATCTGAAACCAGGATTGAGGGGTGTGGGTAATGTATGAGTGTGAAGCTCAGGATTGCAACAGCAGGGGGTGCTGCAAGTCAGGACTGCGGTGGACTAGCAAATTTCGGGGGTTAGGATTGGGAGGGCATCAGCAGAGCGGTGGGAGAGCCTCGCACCGAAATAGCAGGGGCTCTACAAGTAGGATCTAGGTGGGATCTAGGTAGATCCTTGTGAGTCCTGGGACTTGAATAGGAGGGGATCCTGCCACTCAGGATTGAGGTTCATAGCACAGCCATGTGGGGCACCAGGTCTGGAGCGATCAGCTCAAGATGAGGTGCATGGAGGAGTGTGCAAAGAATCTTCCGTAGCGGTCTTACACTGGGGATGGGTAGGACCCGCTCTGGAGAGCATGACTTTGCCCATTCTCTGCAGCTTAACTGAGGGCACCCCGAGTGGTATCTGGAGACACCTGAGCTCTGGGTGAAGGGCCAGGCCCGAGTGGGAGGATGCCATGTGTACAGCACCCCTCAGCTTGCCTTTATCCTGGGCTCAATGATAACCACTTCCCCTGTGTTTCCCACTGCACAGCTCAATTCTCCGATGAACCCCATCAGCAGCACAGAAGATATTAAACCACCCTTGGGACTCAATGGAGTTCTTAAAGTGCCAGCACACCCCTCAGGAACCATGGCCTCCTTCACCAAGCACATATGTGCCATCTGTGGGGACAGATCTTCAGGTAAAAACCCCCAGGTGGCAAGTGGAGGAGGGGGTTGGGGAAGTGGACCTCGGTGGAAGGAGAATCCCCTTTCCTGGTCTTTATTTGTCCAGCAGGAGCATCCACATGTCTCAGCTTTCTGAGCCAAGGCAATGCAACGCCTTGGTTTTACCCGACTTCTTTCCCCACCTGTGTCCTGCCTCCCTGCCTTGGAGAGAATATGCAGCATGTATTCCCTCCCATCAGGGCACAAAGAGCCGAATGGTCTTGTGACCTGTTAAAGCCACAAGGGGCCACTGGGAGCAATTTGTTAGTCTCTAAGGTGCCACTCCTGTTCTTTAATCACATTAAAGGCATCCCTCAGCTTCTGAAGGTGCCATAGGAATAAATAAGACAAGCACAGCCTCTGCGGGGAACCTTTCGTTCTTCCATGCCAAGTGCTCAGGGCCATCCCAAACCTTAACCTCCCAGCATCTCCTTCCCCTGCACCTGGAGATTGATGGCCAGCCAGCTAGGGCTGGAGCAGTAAAAACGGCACCTCAGGAAAATATGGGGGGATGATCCCATTTAGCAGCCCTACCTTAACCCCTTTTGCGGATATGCCGGAGGGAATTGGATTTAATTGAGTGGCAGGGCTGTGTGGAATATCCTCAACCACCACTGAAAACAAACCAAAGCCGGCTTTGGTTTGAGGGTGCCCTTACCACCTCTCTGCTCAGGGCAGGTTCACTCAGAGGGAGACTCGGCTTGCAGAGCACCCCAGGGAGCCTGATCTGATCTCCCAAGCCAGGTGAAACTTGGCAGGTTCCTCTGTGGTCAGAGAAGAACTTGGTGTGGGGAATAGGTGAAATTTTGCCTCAACCTCTGCTTAGCCGCTGGTTGCTTCATTATATATTGGAAATTGGCTACCACTGGGGCAGTTCAGCTCCTCCTTCTACCATAGTCTTTTTATTGCATATCCTTCCTTCTCCCGTGTCCTTTTATCCCGTGATGACCTTCTCAGACAGTACCAGATAAAAGATACACTTCTGATTGATTATCCCCACTCTGTAAAATAAAATGTGTTAATTCCCTTTGTTCTCATGTCATTAACTCTTATCACAGTGGGCTCCCTGCTTGTCTTTCTCTCCAGGCAAACTTTGCTCTCTGTTATGCCCAAGTGATTTTCTAGGAGAAGGTGGCCTCGGTGCGTAACTCAGAGCAAACTTCAGTACATAGTCTCTATCAGTAACATTTCCCTAAAGCTTCTGACTCCATTCCCAAGCTATGCTCTCTGGCCCACGAGTGATCCCTGCATGGGGTCTTCCCTGGGGACGTGCTCAGAATGAAACCACTCGAGAGCCACCCACTGAGGAAAGAGGGGAGCTCTCGTAAGGTTGTGCATGTAGTGAACATGTTGGAGAATAACCGTGCCGACTCAGTCCAATCTGTGGAGAGGCTGTTTGTTCTCACATAGATTACTGCGTGTGCGGGGAGAAGTCTCCTCCGCAATGAGCGGCCGTGTGGATTGTTCATTTCTTATGATACCCCAAATGCCATGGACAAAGAGAGCAGGGGCTGTTTGTCACAAATAACGCCAGCCTATTGGCTCCTGTGTCCACAATGTGAGCAGAGAGGTCAAGGGCTGAAAGAGTCTTGGAGACATCAACTACTCTCTGGTCCCTTGTCTTCACTTGGAAATTAGGTTGTGTTAGAACATGACTGTGGCTCATGATGTTAAACATGATTTGCAGCCCGTATGGACAGGGACATCTTGTCATCTGGTTGTGGCAAGGCCTGTATTTCCAGTTGGGTTTGATCCACGACCAGTGGACATGATGGTAAACATGATGGTTGAGGCAGGTTTGCCAGGGCAACATGGGGGAAGCTTGCCTGGATGTTGTACCTATTCTGTGGATGAATAAAGAGTGGGCAGGACCTTGTCCAGACAGGGGTGCCTAGACTGAGCTAGCTAGCTTTATTGCATTAAACTGTCTGAAACCCTAGGCGAGACAAAGCAATTGTATATTAGCACGTGCTAAGTGGGCCAAGATAAAGCCTGATCCCCCCTTCAAATCCGACGCTAGACAAGGCCTAAGGTAATTAAACAACCCAGGAGTAGCAGCAAGAGGGTTGTGGGGCGTCAGGTAGGTGACCTGTTGGTTGCTCAGTGGGTCTGCATGATTTCTGTGTTTCTTCATCCTCCTCAACCCCCTGCAGGTAAACATTACGGGGTGTACAGCTGCGAGGGCTGCAAAGGTTTCTTCAAGCGTACAGTGCGGAAGGACCTCACCTACACCTGCCGCGACAATAAGGATTGCTTGATTGACAAGCGCCAGCGGAACCGCTGCCAGTATTGCCGGTATCAGAAGTGCCTGGCTATGGGCATGAAGCGAGAAGGTAAGGCAGACGGAGCAGGGACCTCCCCTACGCACGCGGGCACCTGCAGCGGACCCGGCGGGGGCTCAGGTACACTCCTTCTGCAGGAGGCTCCCTCCCGCTTCTAGCCCTGCAACGTAACAGGCACCAAACCTGCCTTTAGCCCCTTTTGTTGGTGATGGTGAATGCAGCCAGGAACATCTGACAAGGATCTCACTTCGCAATCGCTGCTCCTGGGCCTGAACCGTGCTGTTTGCTGTGACGCAAAGGGTGGATTTCTCTCCCCTGTGCAGGCCTCTCTTGCGTATATTCTGTGCTCGCTCGACAGTGACCGTTAGCAAGGTTGTAATGGAGGAATCAGGCCAGATGCATATCTGAGAAGAAGTTGTTGCCCTGAGTAACTCACTTAGTTCCTTCACCAGCAACAGAATGTGTCTGTACATTCCATTGCCAGAGTATGCTTTTATTTCTCATAAGGAGCAGCATCCTCATCAGATTCTTCTGGCTACCCAGGCCTGAGCAAGGTCACACTATGTGACATGATATTACTGTGTGTTAATGTGCACAAGCAAAGCTCCGAAGGTGCAAGCATAGTGTTCGTTTCAGAGGGGCGAAGCAAAGCGAGAATGGGTAGAAGCAGATACTATTATCCAGTGGCATGGAGGAAGGCAACAGGAAAATACAGATTTGCCTTGATTTTAAAAAGCTTTCTTTTCCAGTGTTCAGAAGGCTGTAAAGCCCAGATCAAGGGGTGAATGTGGGACTAGCATTTTAGGTTTATGTTGGGTGACAAGCACTGTAATCTGATCTGGCCCATCCTTTTACAGATAACATGATCTGAAATGATGTTAAATCCTGGAAGATTGGTGTAGATTATAATGGGACACTGTCAAGATACAAATGGTGTGTTTAATAAAATGCTTTCCCTGCAGCACTTTAGATTAGTAAACCTGAAAGAATGTTATCAGCCTAATTTATTTCTCATGGTGCTGTTTGTTTATATTTTGCACTTCTCTGAGCCTGAACAAGACTGGTTAGTTTCATTTTTTCTTTATAGTCAGTTTTACTGTCAATTCCTATGAACTTTCCCCGTGCTGTTGTGTTTGGGTTTCCAGTATAGTGGGAAAATAGTTGAAACTCTGTTCTTTCCATGAGGAAGAATAATTATGATTTTTTTTTTTTTTTTTTAGTTTTTGTAAAATTTTTTCCCCTCCTGAAATTTAGTTTTGGACCTAAACGACTTGACAATGGCTCGTCAACGCTGTGTTGGTCGGTGTGTGCTTATGACTTGAGAGCGACTGTGTGAATAATCCTCCACTGGTATCACTCCAGTCACTGATATCTGCATTCATTACACCTTCTGAATCACATCTGCTGTGCTCACTGACACATAAATCCACTTCTTTACTGCTCTCTGTTCTGCGGAGTCACAATAGTCGTGGGAGAGCAAAGCTGCAGGATGTGTCTCTTTGAAGAGCAGTTAGTCTTGTCTGGAGCGTTAACTAAATAGGGCAGCGCTGAAGCTGTGTCTAGTGTTTAACAAACCCTGACATGCTTGATTTATGGGGTCATATAAGGACCCACACATGCAGATTCTTCAAATGTCAAAGCCATCTCTGCTTGGGATGCTTTGGAGTTCCAAAGGCAACTGATTAAAAGGACATTTGGATGGGGCTGGGGGAAAGGGTTAGCTCTCCAGAGAGAGCAAACTGCAGAGGACTGAATTCCTAAAGGGAACCTTCCTCACCCCAGCAAACTCAACCCTGGGTGTCCGGAGTAGAGATTTCCGGAGGGGAGTATAATATGTTTTGCACTGAGGAAGGCTGGAAACTCTGGCAGATGTTCTGGGTTTTATACAAGGAATTTTTTTTTTTTAATCATGGGGTAACCATGTATAAGATATACATATATGGTCTTAATCAGACACAGAATGTACCTCTGGTATGTTTCAGACATGAATCAGGGTGTGTGTGTGGGACCCAGAGCATTTTGTTTAGGGTGCTATAGTTTTAACAGGTATGTTAGAAATGTGAGCATCCCTCCCTATGCTAGCAACAAGTCTGCATCTTCCACATGTCAGGCAGTGGCAGAAAGAGTGCGAGTCACATTTGTTTTCTTGTTTAAGGGGCAGGGATTGTGCGGCTGGCTCTGCAAACAGATGACAGCCCTCCCTCACAGTAAGGCAAGAGGGCTCTCTCTACCTTTTGAAAGTAAAGCAGCTCTGAGGCTGGTTTCCTGAGCTTCCCCCAAGACCCTGACTTGACTGCACAGTAGGTGCGTTCCTGACAGACAACAGAGAGAAGGAGAGAGCGCGCGATGTCCTGAATCAACCCTGTCTCTTCCAGGTGGAAGAGACCAAGTGCTGGGATGTGGACAGACAGACAAAGCCACAAGCTGGTGCAAAGAAAGCAAAACCAGCAGGGGATATGGTTGGAAAGGAGAAGGGGGTGGAAAGTCTTTGGACTTCAGATGAAAATTCACAAGTGGTGCCGGCTGTGGGCAGAGGCAGGTATCTGGAGTTAGGCAGGGATTGGGCTCAGGAGGACTGGTTGTTATTGGAGTTTCATCTCAGCCGTGGCTATACAGCGTGTCATAGGGTACGTCTACACAGCAAAAAAAAAACCCTGCAGCAGCATGTCTCAGAGCCTGGGTCAACTGACTTGGGCTTGCAGAGCTCACGCTGCAGGGCTAAAAATTGCAGTGTAGACATTTGGGTTCAGGCTGGAGCCCTGACTCCAAGACCCTGACCACTCCCTGGGTTTCAGAGCCCAGGCTCCAGCCCGAGCCCGGACATTGACACTGTTATTTTTAGCCCTGCAGTGTGAGCCCCAGCCAGTTTGACCCGGGCTCTGAGACTTGCGGCCATGGGGTTTTTTGGCTGTGTAGACGTGCCCTCCTTAAAAACGGGTTGTGGCTTAGATTCTACAGGCTCCGTGTGAGGCTCTTGCAAGGACGTGTGACCACTCAGTGCTCCTGCAAAGCCAGCCTTTGTGTGTGAAAAGCATCGGAAGTAGCCAGGCTGGTGTCTGGCTGCAGGTGTTTGTTCTCTGTGGTGCTACCAGCATAGGAAGACTCATCCTGAAGAAAAAACCAACTCCCCTTTTCCTGTCACGTCTCCCCTCCATAGCCCCTTGCCCACCGAGATACCCACTAGTACATATTGGCAATCTGTGCTGGCATGATCCTGGGCCTGTAAAGCTGTGAAGGAAACAGTCTTCAGAGGAAAGGCACAGCTGCCATGCCAGTGTGAACAGAGCGCTGTCAGATTGCATTAGCGGTAACTGATGGGTGTTGCGTTCTTTGCTGGATAAAAGTTGCAAGTCAGGAGGTCAGCTCTATAACTTGTACTCACCGAATTGTTCCACTGAGAGAATAAAAGTGACTAACAAAAGCCAGCTCATCTACTGTATATTCAGCAATGGCACTTGCTTTTCAGAGAGAGGTGAGGGAACGTATTCATTTTTGTTTTTATTTTCAGTAAATGTATTGTTGAAGGCTGGGATTGTCTCTGGAGCCTGTTAAATTTCATTGGAACTGGGCACCTAATTCCCCTAGGCGCTTTAGAAAATCCAAGTGAATTTTATCTTTATTTGTTCTGAATCAAAATGGAGCCCAAAGGTTATGGTTCTCATGCACTTCAGGATCTGTTTTTTCCCTGGAAGTGTCAATTAATGTGAGAGGGTTACTTCCAGAATCGTCCGCACTCCCTGAGATGGTGTCACAGGGCGAGCTGGGTCTGGAAAAGGGTTAAGGCCTCAGAGCTCTGGATGATGTGTTAGAAGCCCAGAGTTGGCACCGAGGATAAGAGGTGCTGTCCTCAGAGCAGGAAGGAGAGTATACTGTGAAAGACCTGGTGCGGGGCGCTCTTGCAGTGGGCAGCTGTCTGGGTGGGGAAGGGCAGTGGCCGGAGGTCTGGATTGGGACTGGAGGAGTTCCTGGAGTTGAGTGAACTGGGGCCCAGGAGGGGCTCAGTGGGTTCAGATCAGCGGGAAGCCTCGCTAGGAGGAGCTAGGGGGAACTGGGCTGGGCTCAAGGCGAGTCGAGTGGTGGCAGGAACAGAAAAGGAATGGCTTGCGCCTGGAAAGGCGGAGGAAACTCTTTGTCTTGCTGTGTCTTAATAAACCTGGCCCCAAGAAGGGGAATGTTACTTGAAATGTGGTTGTGTGGGCACCCATTGGCAAGTCAGAGGGGAAACTGAGGCAGCACCCCGCGGGGGTGGGGCATGCTGCTGTTGCAGATCGATTTAAGTGCAATGGTTTGGGGCTCAAACAATGGACCTGGCTGGTTGCCCCAGGTGATATGTGGCTTTTCTCATTTTCTTTCTGTTGGCTCTGCTGAACTGACATCCTGTAAATCAGGTGACTATTAAATTCCTACAATTACGGCAATTGCCCGGGCAGCGCCACTGTAAAATTATAGGTCCATTAATTAATTTCTAAACGGCAGTGCAATTCCCAAGGGAGTGCAGACTGTATGCCATCTGTGTGAGGACTCTATTAATTCATCTTGATTCACATTATCACAACGTATACCGAATGAATCCATAATAATCAGCCAATTATTTAAAAGTGTGACAGATGGGACCTTCATAACCCTAGAACTGAACTCACACACTACTGGCAGACTGATCTTATAGTGCAGTGTATATATTATGGAGGGCGAGGAGAAAGAGGAGAAAGTCTTTGTGTTTAGCATATGTGATAAGTAGACGTTCGGAGCTAGATCCTCAACTGAAGTGAATCAGCACAGCAGAGCTCTATTGATTTCCCTTGAACTATCCCAAGTTGCACCCAATGAGGATCTGGCCCATAGCAAATAGCTATTTGGTGCTATGTTGATAAAGACCTGGATTCTGTTCTTGGCACTGCACTGCGACTCAATTGCCCTCTCTGTGAAATGGGAATAACAATACTCGGTTGTAAAGTATTTTGAAGTCTGTGGGTAAAAACTGTCTATAAATGAGCCATCCATCTGGCTCAGATATACAGTTCCAAGAAGCATCTTCTGCCCATTTTGGAGCA